CTGGCAGATGACAGAGAGGCAAACATTGTTTACACAAAGGAGTTGAGTGGCCGTAAACCCTGAGGTAGACCAAGAAGACTGTGGAGAGATAATGTGCAAGCAAAACTATACATTTTCCGAGTAAGCTTATTGAAACCCAATCACAGAGATGAATGGAGGCTGCTGGTATCGACAGCAATGAACCTCAAGGGGTTGGAATGCTGAAGAAGAAGAAAAAGAAGAAGGAGGAGGATAAGGAGGAGGAGAAAGAGGATGAGGAGGAGGTGGAGAAAAAAAAGAAAAGAAGAAGAAGAAGAAGAACAAGAAGAAGAAGAAAAAGAAGAAGATGGTGATGATGATGATGTTAAAATGTTGTAGTAGTAGAAGCAGCAGCACTATTATTATTGTTAGTTGTTGTTGCTGTTGTAGTAATTTTTGAAAAGCAAATAAATAGATTGTTTTAAATAATATAAAATGTATACATAAATACCTATAAAGAGAATTACATACTTTTTCATAACTTGATGTTACATTTGTTTTTGGTTGTTTCTATCCGAGTCGTTAGCAGGTCTGCAAAATATGGCTCTTATTATCCCGACTCGCAGTGATGACAAGGCTGGGGAAAAAAAAAAACCCAGCTTTCCCTGGACATCCAAGAGTCTTATTACTCACTGTTTTCAAAGAATGTACCAAACTGGCCAGGCAACCAAGCAACTAACTATAGATATTGCAACGAACTTCTGACATTGTAAAGGCGGTGGTTATGGCTTCGAAGTACTAAGCATTCATGCATGCATGCATGCGCAGTCACCTCGGTTGTGAAAAAAAAAAAAAAAATAAACAGCAAATCTACAACTGCAATTGTAAATGTCACCAGTTAGTAAGTTACTTAAGGCAGCAATTTTCAAAATGAAGACAGTTTTATGTTGTTGTTGTTGTTGTTATCGATCCAGCGGCGCATGAGCTTTCGCCCTTTGGCCCAATGCCATGTAGTGGAATTTGCATGTTTTCACAAGCTGTTCTTTTCCTCCGTACAAGGTGTTCCACTTGTCTGGTCTCGGAGGGAGTAGCGTTCTTCTTGTCTCACTGAGTTTTGGGCACTCAAAGAGATGGTGTTCAACAGTTTCGTAGGGGTAGTTACATAGCTGGCACTCTGGGGAGTGTTGTGGCTGTATTCTGTTTAGGTGTCCATTGAGTGGAGTATGTTGCGTTCTAAGTCTGAAGATGGTGGCCTGGTCCCTTCTTGTTAGATGGTTAATGCTGTCATTAGGATCAGGGCCAGACATATGTCTATAAACCTCTCTTCCAGTGTCTCCCATGGCCCATCTGTTCAACCAAGTCTCTTTGTTTATAGCTCTTATCAGTGTTTTTGCTGTCTGGAGGGTTGTCGCTGTAGGTGGTTGTTCTTGTGTTGCTCCTTTCTTTGCCAATCTGTCAGCTCTGTCATTACCTGGTGTGCCGGAGTGACCTGGAATCCACTGCATCACTATTCTGATGTTGTATGAGGTAATAAGATGATCGGCATCCAGGATTATCTTGGCTATGTCAGTTCTGCAGCGTTCATTGCCCTCCAGAGCTTGAAGGGCAGACATTGAATCTGTGAAGATGACAATATTTTGGACCTTTGAGGGGTAAACATCCATTACAGTCTTTAGGTGGTATACTGCTGTTTCCAGTGCAATTATTTCAGCTTCATAGTTTGAACAGAATTCCCCGCATGCATCAAAAATCTCTTCAACAGATCCATCGGGATAACCTATGTAGATTCCGTAACCTGCTTTAATGGTAGCTTTAAATGCTGATCCATCAGTATAGACATGTATCCATTCTTGGGGGTAAGAATCAACGGTCTTTAGTGATGAGTTCATAAGAGCGATTGGGTCGGACTGTTTGGTTTCCTCGCCTACCAATTTAGTTTGGACTTCTGGAGCTTTAAAGCGAGCATGTGGTGGTAGGTTTTTTGCAACATTCTGAATTCCTTGACGTCTTTCTGGGAGGTGGTATCTGTCCTGAATTTCATTTACACAGTGTAAAACCGATTTGTGCTTTATTCTTTGTTTGGATTCCCAGTTTTCTACAAGATGTCTATTAGGATGGTTACGATTTTTCCTAACGCATCTTTCATAAATTTCTAAAGTGGCTTTTTCTCTCCGCAACCCGAGGGGTTCCACATTTGTGTGGATTTCACATGCAGCAGTTGGTGTAGACTGCATAGCTCCGCAGATTAATAGGAGGGCATTATTTTGTACTCTGTCAAGAGTCTCTAGGTTAGTTTTGGAACAAGTTGTAAGCAGTGAGTTGTTGTACTCTATCACAGAGCGAACATATCCTAGGTATAAGCCCCTCAGAGTTTCCTTGTCTGATCCCCATGATGTACCTGCAAGTCTCTTTAATAACTGTAACCGCCTCAATGCCTTATTCCTGATGTTTTCAATATGGTTCTTGAGGCTGAGCTGCGGGTCAAGTGTGACTCCAAGGTATGTGGGGATGCTCTTCTTTCATCACTTGGTGTTTGTCTAACCTCAGGTTAATATTCTTCCTTGCTACTTGGTGGCTTTTGGTAAAGATTGTGTAGACCGTCTTTGCACAGTTAATCTTGAGTTTCCATCTTTGGCAGTAATCATGCAGTCTTCTAAGGTCTCCATTCAGTCTTTGGGCTCCACTTTCCACATTTTCATGACTCTGCCATATTGCTAGGTCATCAGCGTACAAGGCTTTTTCGGCCTTGATTTGTTCTGGCAGGTCATTGATAAAGATTAGGAATAGTGTACAGCTCAATGATGAGCCTTGTGGCAAGCCCTCCTCCAAGACTTCTTTAGAAGAGATTGCGTTGTGCATCTTAGTCTGGATTGTTCTATCTATCAGGAAGTATTTCACCCAGTTATACAATCTGCCATGTATTCCTATGCTCATCATCTTCATCAGGAGACCTTTTCTCCATACTCTGTCATAGGCCTGCTGGAGGTCGACAAAGACTGCCACTGTGTGTTTCTTATTCTGGAAGCCATCATGTATTCTTTGTGTCAGTCTGAACAGCTGGTCTTCTGTGCAGCTGTTGGTTCTGAAGCCTGCCTGTTCATGGCATAGAACACCAGAACTCTCAAGGAACCAATATAAGCGCCTGTTTATCATTCTTTCTGCAACTTTGCCCAAGCATGATGTTAAGGATATCGGGCGGTAGCTTTTGGGGTCATCTGGAGGCTTTTTGGTTTTAAGGATGGGGACGATATATGCATTCCTCCATGCCCTTGGAAGTTTGCTTGACCTCCAAGTTTTATTAATAAGCCTGAGAACTACTTCTCTCCCAGACCGGCCAAGATGTAGCAGCATTTCGTTGTGGATCTTATCTGGGCCTGGAGATTTTCTAGGTTTTAATTTCTTCAGGGCTTGCTCTAATTCATCCATGCTAAATTCATTTTCAAAAAGGGAGTCGCTGGCTGTTGGAGCTCTCTCTTGTTTCTTCAACTGAGAGAGCTGTGTTCTATCGAGTTCTGACAGCTTACCTGCTCTGTTAACCAAGGCAAAATAATGATTGAAATGTTCTGCTTTCTTCTTGTCTTCAGTGATTGTCTTACTCCCATCTGTCACTGGTTTTGGGTTCACCCTTCTACTTTCTCCGGAGAGGTTTTTAACTAAAGTCCATGCTTTATTTCCATTCTGTCTAAGGTCTAAGTTGGAGCAAGTTTCTGTCCATTTATCTCTTTTAGCCTTATTAACTACAAGCTTTACTCTGGCACATGCTTTATTGTATTGGATCTTTGCTTCTGTTGAACGTGCAGTTTCGAGAAATATTCTTGCTTTATTCCTTTCAGATATAGTATTTTGAATTTCTTGATTCCAAAAAGGTTTATATGCCTTCCGGCTGCCCCTTGGGATGGCTTTCGACGCTGCATTCAGGATTGCTTGTGTTATGTCTTCACAAAAAGTTTCCACACAGCTGTTGTCAATTCTTCCCAGGAGGCAGTCAGATGTTTCCTGAAATAGTTTCCAGTTTGCTTTTCGGAAATTCCAACGGGTTCTCTGCTTGAAGCGTAATTTAGGGGTGGTGCTTACAGTTGTGAGTATAGGTTTGTGGTCACTTCCTATGTCGTCCAGGACTTGGGGATAGCTTGCGTCTGCTAAGTCGGATGAGCAGATGGTCAGTTTTATGTAATCTTTGTTTGTTAGTAAAGATAATTTTTGAAAGCTATATGAATCCTATCTTGATAAACGGGAGCGAATCAGGGACAGTTGGTGAATTAGTGAAACATTTTTTGGAAGCTGCGGAGATGGGATTTTATTGACTGATGATGAGAATACCATGGACAGATAAAAAGAATAATGAGAATGTCTTGACAGAAAGTGACTCACGAAGAGAACTGATTCTTTGGTCATGTGATGAGGATCATCAGAGTCAGAATTGATTGAAAGTACACGAACAAGATGGTTGTGTACAGACATGACTAACAATGCCACATGGCATGGACTTTAAGAAGAAGTCAGTTACTTGACAGATCATTCAAATGTTACGTACAACCATTCGGTCTATAAGTGCTTGAATCTCCTCTTTAGTTAATCAGTAAGTAACCTGTAACTGCTGATGACACTTTGTGTGTGTGTGTGATTTTTCTTCTTGGATAGTATTACATAGTATTGTCTGAGAATTTTTCGTTGGTGTTTTTGCAATCTGGCTATGGATGCAGTTCCACATTATCCTTGATTCTGTCAAAAATTTCACTTCTGCTAAGACATTTAGCAAACCAAAAACTGCCCCCCCCCCTTTTCCACCCCAGGGCAACCCCCCCCCCCCTTTACACACGTTAACTTTACCTGGAAGCCTGTCAGTTTGTTCATTTCCTTTTACACCCGCACATCCTGGCACGATAATGAAACTTATCTTTTTCGGAACTGCATCAGACTCTAACGCTTGTCGTCTAATGTTACTTTATGCCACTATTTACCCAAACAAATTAACTTTCCTTGCCTGTTTACACTGGATTATACTTCATAAAAACTACTTTATTTTCTATAATCTCAACAAGGTAACGGTTCCAGACTTCGAAGTCGGCTACCCTAAACCAAAGCCTCCCCGCGACAGAAAGAAAGACATCTATAAGCCGGCAGATTATGCCCATATCGACAACAGAGTCAGACAGGTAAATTAAATCGGCGTTCATGCTCTCAAATTACGCTGGAATTCACAACAGCATGAGAGGTGAGTGAAATGCATGTACAGACAGACTACGCTGATAGTGTCAACAGCCAGACAAGTTAGTGCAGTAATTATATAAATTTCACAAACACGTTTCATGCTATCTTCAGTTAGGTAGGTAATTGAAATGCATGAACAAACTTCAAATCTATGCCTATGAGCTAGCGGGAAACGAAAGAGGAAATAAACAAGAGTATGAGAAGAAGAAAATAGTATGGTTAGAACAATAAATAGTTCCCCGATGGACTAAGAAGGAAAGTAAAGACAAGAGTTCTTCTGATGAGGGAACCATGAAATATTACTCATGGCTCAGGCGATGAATATATGAATAGTTTATTGCACAACTACTACAGCATATAACTACATAGGTGGCGCCTAGAAAGACCACACGCTGAACTACAAGCCCTTAATCCAAGAAATGAAATGTAATTATCATAGTCAACATCTGTTTATTTTCCTGACCACAGAACTATCTTGCTTCGCAAATAACAGTACATTAACAGTCAACAACGTTTTCAAACAGACCATATGCTAATCATTCTAGCTAACAAAGAGGAGAGTTTGTTTTTTAAAGCTCTCTAATATCAGAATCTCTGGCGAGGATGCACATGGCCATCTAGACTGAACAGTCTATCTACTGAATATACCGCCAGAACACGAAGCCAGTGAGCCAATCCATCTCTCGACTCAGAGCCACAGGGACCTGCGTTGTACTGAGAATACCGTACTGGTTCGCAACCGAAAGTTAGGAGAACATGTTTCTAGTCCTATCGCCGCCGACCAAGGAAAGCATCCCCCCCCCCCCCAGACCTTATTACATAAATGTTTTGACTCACTGGCCACTTCCGGGGTGTTCCGATCTGCAAATCTGCAAGCCTGAGTTCGCAAGTATAGCCAAACCAAAATTATTATAACAAGCTAACAACCTACTAACAACCTCTTCCACCAGTTTGTTATACTGAGGTTGACTACACTAAGCAAGTAGAAGGTACACAAACTTCAGAAATATGTTCATACTATCTCCAGCCAACCATTTAGCTGAAATGCACGTATTAATTCCCAGACTATGCTGAGACTGTCTACAGTCAGGTAAGTTAGTGAAATTATTTTATTATTCTCAAACGGACGTTCTTTTATATAAACTTCAAAAACATAATCTTTTATTTCAACTTCAAAAATACTTTCTTTTTTATAAACTTCCAGAATATGTTCATACTATATTCAGCCATACACGTGAGGACAAGACATGTACATACAAACTCCTAAACTATGCTGAGATTTGTCTCTTGTCAGACGACCTATTGTTTACGACTTGCTTAGGACGTAATTTTTCCACGGTGATCCTCATCCGCATGGTGGCACTTTGTGTCATAGGGTGTTTATCGCTTGTGTGATGTCCTGGTGGGGTAGAAAGTCAGTCAGTCAGTCTCTTGTCAGACAAGTTAGTGGAACCAAATATAAAATTCAAAAGTGTGTTAGGATTGTTTAATGGACAGTAAGTGAAATACATCTGCAAACTCAACAACAACAACAAAAACAACAACTACGCTGAGTTGCCAACAATCCAATAAACTAATTGATATTCATCCACAAATTACCATGAATTTGGTAGATACAATTATTTAATGAACAGTTTCCAACTATACCAAAACATTAAAAAAAAAAAAAAAAAAACAATTTAAAAAAAAAAGAAAAACAAATATTTCATTTTTATGAAAAGTCTAATATAAAATATCCAACATATCCTACTTCTGGGTCAAATTTCTGATCAAGTGTAATTTATCCACTCTCTCTCCAGCAACAAGCAAGCTTGAACACTTCGACTTACGAGAGCCTGGTGAACTCGCTGACCGCTGGCTGTACCACAGATCTCCAAAAACTGAGAGCTATATTCGTCTGGCTGTATCTACAGAATATCCACGGATCCTTCTACAGCCGTGTAACTGACCCTCACACACCCAAGGGCTACATGAAGGTTATCAAGACAAATCATGGCTCTTACGCTTCCTTCTTTGCTCAGCTATGCAGGTGAGTTTTAACAATAGGGTGTAAGGAATATGCACTTCAAAGATTCACTGCTTTCTTAGGTTGTGAGTGACTGGCAAAGTCTTAGAGCGCTGTGCTCTTAAAAGGACTAGTTTCGAACCCTCGGTAATGTTATGGAAATGTTTTCTATCAGGGTCGAAGAACCCTAATATGCACAGTTCGAGGCGAATTCCACGCGAATTGGAACCCAAGACTTTCAGACCTGTAGGCAAGATTCTATCAACCAGGCTCCCGCGTCTACCATTTTAAAATGTAGCAAAATTAGTAAGAAAATTTATTGCCATATTTTATGAGGTATTTCGCCCAAGGTTATAAAAAAAAGTAATTGGACACCTATTTTATACACTCATGTAGTCCACCATTGTGGATTGAACAGTGCTGCGGTACACATAGACCAATACCATGTAGGGAGAATGACGCTGCCAAGACTTACAAGGGGATCTAGCCGGCGTTCAACACTCAAGGTTGAGGCGAGACGGATATACAATCAGACGGTTACTGGTCCCAACGGAATTGTAACTCGATGCTTGCTGCTAAAGATGGGAACAGAGCGCTTGTGGCGGTGTCCCGAGTGCTGTGATGTCGATTTTGTATTTAACTTTCAACATTTAGCCCAACGCATAAGAAAACTAGTGATGGTAGAAATGAATGATAAATTATGTTCAACATAATAAGATTCAAATGTTTTCTAATGCCTGTTGTCATTTCCTCAGGGCAGCGGCTATACCCTGTAATGTTATCCGAGGTGTTGGCAAGGGAGACAAGTATGTTACAGGACAGCAAAATTGTGATAACATGGAAAGTGCTTGGAACGCCGTTTACGTCGCTGGTGAATGGCGGTTAATTCATCCGTTGTGGTCTTTCTTTCAGGAAAAACAAACATATGAAAATGGGTAATAGAAGTTGTAATGTAACTCTTTTTTTTTTTTTTTAAAAACACTTAAATATTAATTTAAGACTACAACTAAGCTTGTGTTACTTCCCAGGGAATCAAAACCACCACCAATAATGTAACACTTATGCGTCCTTTCTAGGATGTAATTTTTTGTTATTTGAAGCCCCACTCTGGCTTTTGCCAGGGGCCGCAATATAGGCAGGCCATAAATATGGCCAATTGTCTAAACGCGGTTTCTGGGACCTCTCCACGGTGATCCTCATCCACATGGTGGCACTTTGTGTCATCGGGTGTTTATCGCTTGTGTGATGTCCTAGTGGGGTAGAAAGTCAGTCACCAATACCTCATTTTAACAACACAATCCTATCGTCCTTTTAAGGATGCAATTTTTCGTTTTTAAAGCTCTACCCTGTCTCATGCTAAGAGAAGCAATATAGCCCGGCGATAAATATGGCTGAACGCGGTTTCTGGGACCTCTCCACGGTGATCCTCATCCACATGGTGGCACATTGTGTCATCGGGTGTTTATCGCTTGTGTGATGTCCTAGTGGGGTAGAAAGTCAGTCAGTCACCAATACCTCAATCCAGTCATCTCCTTGTGAGATGCAATTTTTCGTTATTTGAAGGCCTACTCTGGCTCTTGCCAGGGGCCGCAATATAGCCCGACCATAAATATGGTCTAATGGCTGAACGCGGTTTCCGGGATCTATCCACGAGTGATCCTCATCCACACGGTGGCACTTTGTGTCATCGGGTGTTTATCGCTTGTGTGATGTCCTGGTGGGGTACAACTTACCTACCTACCAATACTTGCCTCGACGTTACATAGTAACTGTTCTGTGGCTCCCCCGGTATGTGTGTACTATATAACTGTACCATTGCAAGTCCGACTCGTAATCCAAAGAACCGCGATCGAAACCCACTGCTGGCTCCGTGGATTTTTATTGTGGTATGGGGCTTCGCAGATCGACCCAGTCTAAAATGGGTACCAGGATGGCTGTCCTGGGGATGTAAAGACAGCCGGCGTTATACTGACCACATTACCCACCCAGTGCCGATTGGTCTGTAAAAATATGTAACGCTCTTCCCATATACCCGATGCGCCTAGGGTGTGAACAGGGATTTTTACTTTACTTAACCTATATATCTGTACACCTGAACGGGGCGCCCGGCTCTCTAGCGTAGTTGTCTAAACCGGATTGCGCGGAGACCGGGTGACGAACTCCTTGTGGTCCGGGTTCAATCCCGGCGGTAGGCAGAAAAGCCACATTTTCTCCCAGATTTACGGTATTTACAATGGAATCAAGGCCGAAAGGTTGCGATATCCATATACCTAGCCTAAGGGTTAACAACTCATGGCTTCTGGATACTAAAACAAACAACAAATCTGAACGGGGTGTCTAAAATGTGTATCTGTTTGATTCTCATCCTTGAGGTTTTAAACCTACAGACTGCAATCCTATAAGGGAAAAAAGATGTTCCGTTTGATTTCCTCCCACTCACACTAACTACAGGTCACTTCGTAGCCCTTCCGGGAAGTCCTGCAATAACTGCTACGCGTTTAACAAAGTTTCTGGGATGGGTATCTGTTTGATTCTCACCCTCTAAATATTTTTTATACTGGCTGCAATCCTGAAGGGTACAAACTGACCCACATAAGACTGTGTGTAACACATGGCTTGTCTGGCCTTTGCGGGTGCCATCATTAAGGCCGCCGAGAGGATTATTACGTGCTAGAACAAGACTGTCGGCTCTGTGGCTGTCGATGCGAACACTTCGTAATGCCGGGGTGCAGGGTTTGATCCCAGCTGCGGGCCATGCGCCTTGCGTTGGTTTCGACAGTGGTATCAGGGGGCCGACCGTACAGTAGCAATGGCAAACTACCGGACATAAATTTGCCTAGAGAAACCACACAACAGCCAGGTGCTGCTGGAGTTGGAGCTCTAACGTCCTGTATAGGATACGCAACTAACCAACCAGAACAAGACTAAAAGGCTCCCTTCACCTTCACAGAAACACATAAATGTATAAAATCATAATTGTACATTTATTACTTGCATTCAAACATACTCGCAAATATATTAAAAGGAGCGTTACAAAATGTTTCCATATTCTCCTTTATTTTCCCACCCCCTTTCCCCCCTTCATGGCCGTGCCGTGCTGTGTTACAGAGACGCAAACGCATCAGTCAGCACCGTAAGCAGGCGCCATAATCGGCGAGTCTGAAAGCGCGTACTGTGATTTTTTTTTTTTTAATATACCACACGTCGTCTCCTAAAAAAAAAAAAAAAGGCGGTAATTATCATAAAAGACAATGTCACCTATTTTGATTAACATAAAAGGTCAAGGCTAAGAACAACGGAGCTAGTGAAAAAGGAGTAAGAAAGGGTGCACAAAATAGAATACTTGAAATATATCCAAGGGCGTTTTATTTGCCCGGGCATATATATATATATATTTAAACCTACTTGTAAATGATGCAGCGTCTAAAATCTTTATTTTTTTGTTCACCCCGTCTCAGCAAATCCGAGAGTTCGCTGGGAAAGTCCAGTATTGTAGGGGTATTACGGTATGAAATGAATACTGACTAACTCTAGCCCTAATTTCCCTATAATATTGGATTTTCCTGGGAAAATCTCGGATTACTCGAGATGGGGTGAGTTAAAATAAAAGCACAGAGGCTTCTTCTACAGAAACATTGACTTTCTTTCTATTGTACAAGCAATTTACACTTTTTTTTCCTGGTTCTATAAGCGGCGAGAAGTGCTAAAAACGTTTCACCGTTAACTCTAAGCTGGTCTTTTGTTTTACCCTCCCCCCTTTCTTTACAATGGGGCCCTGGAACACACAGAGAAAGTATTGAGCATATGATGCTAGACATATTCTTCTATAGAAAAATGGAACGATTGAGTGATGTGGTGAAAATAACCCCTGCTGTTTTTGCTCCCCATGGTGTTTCTTGGTAACCATTTAGGCTGGGTTGGCCTGGGAGACCAGGTAATTTTGTTTCCAAAACCGTCTGACGAGGATTCGAACCCTAGACCTTCAAGCCCGTCGAATAAGAGCGTCGCACAATAACGGACATTCTTTCACTTCAGTGAGGTCCCTCGGGATTTCCGTAATACTTGCACTAGCGCACCTAGTGATTAATCACTAGTCGAACTCCCAATCTTCAGACAAGTGATTAATCACTAGTCGAACTCCCAATCTTCAGACAAGTGATTAATCACTAGTCGAACTCCCAATCTTCAGACAAGTGATTAATCACTAGTCGAACTCCCAATCTTCAGACAAGTGATTAATCACTAGTCGAACTCCCAATCTTCAGACAAGTGATTAATCACTAGTCGAACTCCCAATCTTCAGACAAGTGATTAATCACTAGTCGAACTCCCAATCTTCAGACAAGTGATTAATCACTAGTCGAACTCCCAATCTTCAGACAAGTGATTAATCACTAGTCGAACTCCCAATCTTCAGACAAGTGATTAATCACTAGTCGAACTCCCAATCTTCAGACAAGTGATTAATCACTAGTCGAACTCCCAATCTTCAGACAAGTGATTAATCACTAGTCGAACTCCCAATCTTCAGACCTAGTGATTAATCACTAGTCGAACTCCCAATCTTCAGACAAGTGATTAATCACTAGTCGAACTCCCAATCTTCAGACAAGTGATTAATCACTAGTCGAACTCCCAATCTTCAGACAAGTGATTAATCACTAGTCGAACTCCCAATCTTCAGACAAGTGATTAATCACTAGTCGAACTCCCAATCTTCAGACAAGTGATTAATCACTAGTCGAACTCCCAATCTTCAGACAAGTGATTAATCACTAGTCGAACTCCCAATCTTCAGACAAGACGTATTAACGGTACCGAATAAAGAATCTAAGATACATGGTAAACTCCATACACATGATATGCAATACCATATACACATTGTTCATACGAAAATTGAAACATAATTTCGACTATTCACAATTCGCTCAATTTCAGATTAAGCCCACCCGCTGGGACCAAACGTTCGAGTATCGAAGAGTTCTACTGGCTCACAGACCCTGACGCTTTTATATGCTTCTGTAAATCTAACAACGACGAATGGCAGCTCCTCGGTCTTCCATGGACTGAAAAGAAATTTCTGAACAATCCTCACTTTACCGAGGAATACTTCACCTGTGGCCTTACACTGCCAAACACCTACAACGCCCTCATAAACTGTGATACCTGTAATTTACTTATCGCATTTGAACACGAAAAATACATTGACCCAACCATAGACGGCCGAGTGGAAAGGGAGTACGACAATAATGATGATCGAGCAACAAGTGATATGGACATGACGAACTATGTTGTCACATCAAGCTCTTCCACAAAAAAGACTCTTGTCGTAAGATTTCCAGTTAGAGGCTGGTACTATGTGGATATATTTGGTGGTTTGGATAATGCTAAGCCAAAACTGGTTAGCTTTCGCGTCCACTGCCAACACCGGGGCAAGGATCCATTGCCGTTTCCCTTAAACCCACCTGAAGGCTTTGGTATTACGCAAACGGCTGATAGATACGGTGTTTCAGACCCCGAACCAGATACGGGTATCATTTTGGTGAGACAAGGTCAACAGAAACGTTTCGTCTTCACTTGCATGCAGAAGCTGGATGCAAAGGCAACACTGACTCACATCAAGCAGAATTCAGACAACCTAGCGGACTGTATCACCACAAAAACCAGTGATAGCCAACTTGATGTCCTAGTGAATGTTCCAGATGAATCGCCTCTTGAATTTGGCTTAGTGGTTAGTTGTTGTCTGTCTGTGATTTCCCAAGTTTGTATGATTTTATAATTTACAATTAGACAGGTGCTGCTGTTTTCCTAAAGCGGCAAGTTACTGCCAATTACTTTTATTTTGCGGTGTAGGCAGTGGGTGTTAGCACAGACCACGGCGTTGACAGTGACAGGATTTTGCTCTCGACAACTCCTATCAAGCGTAACGACAAAGAGGAAGGTGTCTTATTTTTGCTGAAATGAGCCACATCGATAACTTGGCCTTACTGACTTAACTTTTCCCCTAAGACCTGCTATATGAATGCTTCACCCCTGAGGTAAGAACATCTCATTCTGGTCTGCAAATCCCAGATGTCATTTAAAACTCCAAGGAAGTTAAAAGCTGAGTCATCCGTAAGGCCTAACCGTTATGATGTAACCTGCAACTTAGACCACTTGTCAAGGAAACGAGGCATCTACTACAGATTTGCCCTAAGTACTCATCATGTAGCAGGTCCTTTGCACAACGTCGCTCTCATCACAGTCTGCCTGAAAGAAAATCTGTCGCTCGCCAGTTCTCCCGCCTTGTGTACTTTCGTATTCAAGTAGTCACTTATATCCTCTGCCCATCTTCCTGTTGGTCGGCCCCTGCCCCTTCCTCCTGGTACCATGCCTTCTGCTATTATTTGTTCTGGTCCGCCTTGGCGCTTGTTATGACCAAAATATTTCAGCTTCCGAGATAAGATGTCGTTTATTAGCCAGTCTTCTTTGATGTTCAGATCTTTTATACTGTCAGTATTTCTCCTCTTTGTTTATGGTATTCTGATAATCTTTCTATAACGTTTCAGTCCAAAAGCCCATATTTTCTTCTTCGAGGACTGTGAGATTTGTATGTAGCTCTAAGTACTATGATGTATAATTTTAGGACATGAATTGCACGCAGGCTGACAAAATATTTGTCTTCTTATTCTGTTTCAGATTGCTGTCCGTAAAGAAAACGAACGAGGAGACTTTACTGTCGTTGCTAACTATCTATTGGTGGACGAGAATTGGCAAAAGAATGTTGCCACGGTACCCCCCTCAAAAGTAAATATTTTTCTCCTGTTCACACATTGCAGTTGTAACATTGCGGTTAATGGGCTGTCTTATCATTTATAAGTAAGTAAAGACCCTTTTGGCGCATTTTGCCTATCGGGCATAAAGGACTAGACCTGTATATTACAGACCAATCGGCACGAGATGGCTGATGTGTTCAACATTACGCCGGCCGCCTTTACTAACTGTAGATCGACCTGGGAGCTAAGTCTATGAAATATACCATATATTTGTGTATGTATGTGTGTCTGCGTGTATATGTGTGCATGTATGTGTGTGCGCGTGTATGTGTGTATGCGTGTGTGGTGCGTGTGTATGTGTGTTTGTGTGTGTGAGCCAGTGGTTGTCTACATAGTGACGATGAGCAGGTAACCATGTTTAGTTGGGCTGACTCAGGAGATCGTGTCAATTAAGAGTCGTGGGGGGGGGGGGGAGAGGGTTGTGGGGGAGGGGAGTGAGGGAGTGTCTGCGTGGGTAAGTACTTAAGCCGTTTGCTTTTCGTTTTGAAGTTTGGGGGTTTGTTTCATGGGCTGCGTTGTTTGATTTCGATTGCAAGGTTTATAGAGATTACTAACAATCGTAGTGGGAGCAACAGAGTTTGTGCTTTGTGCGACGCTTTCAACCAGCGGAAATCTTTTTTGCGAGTCAGAGAGCCATTTGAGTTAAAACACTATGCATTCCTGTTGATGTTCTCTACTTCTGAACAATAGTCAGCTCTCAGTGGTTAGTGCAAGAGTTGTACGCTGGTTGTCGACTACATTCTTCTTTTTGTAGTCAGTGTAGTGTGGTGTTGATGATTAAACCTTCTGACTCATGAACTTCTAGTTACTTCAAATACAGATGCTCTTTCGTGCCATGATAACATACTGAAATCCTATCTCCTGCTCTGCGTCAGTCCATCTTCCCATTCTGAGAACAGCATTGGTTATAATTATTGCATGCGTTCTTTGTGGTAAGTTTTCCTTCTTTGTCTTCGTGGCATATAATTTACCCTGTGCACAATTTAATGAGATCCATTTCTGCCCTGGTCTGGGTGGGCAAAGTCTCCGTTGCTGTTGTGGTTCTGTTTCCGGTTGAGCCCTGAGAAGGATTAGTAGTCCTAAAGAGGACCCATCGAAGGTGCTGGGCCGTCCGTTGTGTTGCTCTGGGTCAGTGATTCTCCTGTTGCTTGTGCCGCTTAACGCTTTTTATCCGAGTCAGGCGGATTCATGTGTGCTTTCGTCTGAAAGTGGCATCATGATACATGTGTTGTGTCCGCTGTCATTTTTCTTCTGACTACACCTTGAGTTCCTCCTTGAATCTCTTTACAAGTTCCTCAAAGGCTGTGGTTGGAATCTCTGTTACTTTGATGTTACTCGTTTTCCTCTGCTTAGTTATTAGATATCTGCTTTCGTCAGTTCTTGGAGAGCTTATATCGACGGAGGTAGCATTTTTTAGTCTCTCCCCCTGTTCCTCGAATTCTTTGAGAGCTACTGACTGACTGACTGACTTTCTACCGCACCAGGCCATCATAGAAGCGATAAACACCCTATGACACAATGTGCCACCATGTGGGTAAGGATCACCGTGGAGAGGTCCCAGAAACCGCGTTCAGCCTTTAGGCCATATTTATGGCCAGGCTATTTTGCGGCCCTTGGGAAGAGCCAGAGTAGGGCATAAAATAACGAAAAATTTCATCCTTAAAAGGACGGGAAGTAGTATGCATAACTCATTAGTGATTTATCTTTTATGTGTTTCACTCGGGTTACTTCTGCTGGTATTTGCTTTTGAGCTGTTCTGGTCTCTGTGAGTGTTTGTCTCATCTTGTTCCATCTCCTTTCGGGCCTGTGTTCGCTTCAGTTCTTCTGTTGCTTTCAACGCTCGGATGTACTCGAGCTCTTTTTTTTTTTAGCTGTGGGATCTGTTCTCGTAAGTGCGTTGATTTCAGAGAGGTATTGCTCCAGGTTGCGTTGTATCTCATTTGTGCATCTTGGTATTAAAAGTTTGATTTGGTGGCGGTTATAATAGTTTATCGACTTTTATTCATTCATTCATTATAATCATTTATTTATTCATTCATTCCTAACACATATGATAATTACAGGATGAAGTTAAACACCAAAACAAAGATGACACCATCAGACGCAAGCTAATTGCAGCAACTAATGGTGACAATATTGAAACTCTTGAAAACGCTATTGGAGACTTTGAACATCATGGCTTGGATGACGAGGGAGATCTTACCAGAGCCAAGAACAAGTTGGTTCATCTTCATTTAGACAGTGAGTGACATCTGCAGTTGGTAAATAGATAATTCATTCATTTGTTGTTTGACGTTTATTGTAGATAAATTAATAAACTTATACTTTGATGTTCATTTAGATATTTTGTGACATCTGCTAATCTAAAACTAGCCCTGCTGAGTTCATTTGAGAAACGTAAGTGGCATTACCGCTGGCAAATTATACATTATCTAGGACACTCATCGGTAAAGAATCCTTTAAATAGTAGGTGACATCTGCAACTGGTAAATAGATAATTTAAGACACTCATGGTTTCAGCGCTAGTTAGATAATGCCATCCACCTTGGTAAATGGACATCGATTCAGCGTAAGTTGGATTATAAGCACCACCTGCCATTGGTAAATACTGTAGATAATTTAGGACAACCATCGCTTTAGCTTTATTCAGATGGTGACATTTGATACATTTGTGATTTAATATACTAACAATTTCATCTTCATTTAGATAGTCTGTGACATCTGCCATTGTAATTAGCTAAAATACTCTTCTGGTGAGCTCATTTAAGTCAGAAAGTGGTATTACCATTTGCAATTTGCACATAATCTAAGACACTCAAATGTTCATCCATTTTTAAATAATACTGTCACTTATTACCAGATCTTAGAAGAACTACATCAGAAAGACAACTAGCAGAACTAGAAAAGGCTATAGACTCTGCCAACGCTTCACACGTTGCTCCAGATTTGAGGGATTCTGATGAAATGGCTGTAAGTACCTGAACACCCTTATAAGTGGTTAGATAGAGGCTGTACATTCAGATATTTTGTAGCTTGTTTGAGATAATCTTTCTCAAGAATTTCGTAACTGGTCACATATCAGTGTAAATTATAGAATCTGTGAAATGATTTCTACTCCCTTACACCACTTGCCCAGCTGTCTCTTAGCCTCTTTGACTTCAGCTTTGAAAGTGTTCCTGGTGCTCTTTTTTGATTTTAGACTTTTCCTGACATTCCATATCGTTCTTATTCCGAGGTAGGCATTGCTGGATTTCGGCATTAGCTAACTAAGCTACAACTTCGGGTTTCATAATCTGCAAGTACCTTAACAAATTTCTTTTAACGGAGCCGACATTCTTTATTGTTTCTTTTACTAAAACTTAATCGAAAAAATTTTCAATTTTACATATATTTTAAGGCGTATATATTTCAAAATTGTCTGAGATTAGCTGGTCTAATTTAAAAGAGTAGGGGCCTCAGGACTTTACAAAGCTTAGGGCCGCATCGAGTCTAAATACTACCCAGGGATTTT